CATATTATTTTATAACTTGCAAATCGGTAAACGTAACCTTATAGTAATATAAATAGTAATTCGTAATATATAAATCTGATACATGTAGAGAGAAAAGATATCAAAAACAAAATAAATTTTAATGAATTTAAGATATATATAAGTTTTTATATGCAAACAATTTTCCTTTTATAAAAATCGCGTTTTATCTAGATAAACTCTGCAATTGCTTGCTTCAAAAGAAACTGATATAGAATGTATTTAAGAACTTAATTCGATTTTACATGAAAGCGCGAAATTGTCATTTTACATGTGGCAGTCTAATTAGTCTTCGAACAATAATAACGAGCCGCAGGTTCGCGTGCAAATGTTATTTCCAGCGCCATGCAGCCCAGGTCAGAGTCACGGAATGCACAAACATGTACGAAACGCCATTCGGATGTCCAGTATGGAGCTACCGGACGATAATGAGAAGTCATACTCATCGGCGAGCACATCGCCGTGCCCGTCACCACACACCAACAATCAAAACCATTTGAATCCACCCGGCAAGCGTGTTCTGCCACCGAATAATCTCTACGTTGTTCTATACAACTTCGAGGCACGACATCCAGACGAGCTAGATCTTAAGTAAGAACTTGTCTCGTGTAGCATGGAAAAAAACTAGCGTTTCCTCATCATCCCTTTTTATAAGCCCTCACATTAACAATCTAACAGTTATAAACATGAACACTTTTATCTCAAAAAGATGCATAAAGTATACTTGAAATAAGAATCGTTTTTTTGTATATTTATATATAATATTTTATACATTTTTTTGTATCTTTTTATATTTTATTATATATTTTTACATATTTTTTTACGTTAAATTTTTCTATTTTTTTTCTTTATATACAATATATATATACTCAAATATTATATATAATTAATATTAGATTTATTCAAATCATTTGAAATATTTAGTTTATTTTACAAGTAATTTGTGCAATTATAATTTAAAAAAATATAATTTAAGAGTAATTATAACAATGTAGATACCTTAAACACTTTCGCACGCAAATATTCGTAATTCCATTATTAAAATTCTTGCATGCAACAACGAAAGATATTGCGAATGACGCGACATTGATAACGTAAATAATAAATTAATTGACTTACCAATCGATGCACTGCCGGCTGCTTTTTCACTCCTTATCTTCTCTGCTACTCCGCTATTCCTTTTCTAGTTATCCTTTTAGTCTAAAAATAGTTTCATAAAATTAATAATTAGTATATACTGATTTATCATTAAAGATTATTCATTAAGCGGTATTCATAGTCGATTCTTATATTGAAGACCGTCTTAAATACAGTCTTAAGATGTCAATCTTGAAATAAGAACGGACTATGAATACCAGCCATTGTTTGAAATGGCACTGATGATTCATTCGCGCACTTTCACGATTCATTTATTTGTTCGCTGCATTTTAATGTATGTATATTTAATGTACATTTTAATGTACTAGCGAGATTAATAAATAATACGATTACGCAATCTCGATTAGATCACTATAATCATCAGTTATCTTCTACAGCGTTCCAAATCACAAAAATAATCCATATTACCGACGCGATATTCTTTATCCAGCGGTAGGATTTCATTCGACGAAATTGCCATGTGATACAGGGTGATCCGAAATTCCCGCATTCGGAGTACAGGACATGATACTTTATGCTAAAAGAAACAACTTTTTCCTTTTGCAAAATTGCGTCTGACAAGTAGTTTTTGCAGTTACACGAGTAAACGTAAAAATTATTTATCGAATGTAATTTTACTACGGGAAAAATTTGTTCGTTTTAGCACAAAAAACAACTTTTTCCTTTAACAAAATGTCCAATTAAGTAGTTTTTGCAGGTTGAAGTTAACAAATAAGCGCAAAAATTATTTATCGGACGCAATCAAGGACGCAATTTTGTTGAAGGAAAAAGTTATTTATTGTAGCATAAAGTATCATGTCCTGTACTCCGAACGCTGGAATTTCGAATCACCCTGTATATGACGCGATATAATTTTATTCAATAACTTCGATGGTCGCGCGGAGTTCACTTGATGAATCTGTCCCTCTAAATACAGCTAACTATGTTCAACGGCGGATTTTTCGTCAGACGGGGTAGATCTCGCATCTAATTAGATACTCACCACTACGAGAATCTCGTAAATCAACTTATGTATACATTTGCGAGCCCAAAGTACGTCACTGTCAACGGAAAATTCAAACGTCAAGCAAATATTAACGGGCACGCTACTCACCGACCGTTATCCTATAATTTCGAAATCGAAATTACCTCTGTCGGTAGATTCTGCTTTTCTCCTCCATATTTCCTTTTCCTCTAGATACGCTTACAAATCCGAACAGATTGAAAGCGGACGGATAGATGGACTACCGGCATCAGACACATACGCGTACGTTCAACATCACGCACAACTCACAATTCGAAACCATCATCCGTCACTCAATCCGACAATTCCGACAAGGCCGACACTCGCAAGACCCGTTCTCGTGCGAATAAACTGCGAGAAAACGCGAAGAAACGCCGATTGAATCCGGAGTATCTGGACGATTGACAGCGGGCAACGTAACTCCATACTGCCAAATCATCTTACCCCCACTCCCGCCGGCCCCGAGTGGGCAAACAGGGCGACGCGCGGGCCAGTGAATATTTCTCAAGATTTTCCAGGAAAGCGATATTTTCATAGTTCACCGATAACGATACAGCGATTGTTTACGATTTCCGTAACGAAGCAGTTGTGTTTCAATTGTTCCGAATATTATATGCCACTGCGCCGCGCCGCGCCGATACGAGGCTAGTCAGCTTGAAATAGGGAACGTGACTTGCATACGCAGCTAACTTCATAGCGACGCTATCTTCCCGCGCGATTTGGGGCGCGAAGTTTCAATTTTATATTTATGCAACAGCAATGGAACGAAGTGGCAAGGAATAATAATATCGACGTCATAATGACATTAAATAAAATCGAATATGTAATTACCTTTATATGTATAAGCGGCTCATCTTGCGTATTAAATAGGCTAACATAGACGATTCATTGATATTTGAAACAGATGACAGAGTGTTCAGTAAAGACCGTAATAATGCTTAAGGACAGATTTCCGATCATTTTGAAACGAAAATCTAATACCAAAATGTCAAGGGAGTATAATAGTTTTTTAATTATAACCACTTGAAGTTAGTTTTTTAATTATAATCACTTGAAGTTAGTTTTTCAATTATAAGCACTTAAATTTACTTTTTAATAAAAGATGATCCAGGGTTCTCGAAGGAGAAAATATAATTTTCTTATGTGTGTGTGCATTAAATGTAGGTATTTTATAAAATAAAATTTTTAGGACATAATTTTTATTGATAATTCTTATTAATATATATAATGTTATAGATATTACATTTTAATTAAATGATCAGAAGTTTTACGATCTCAAAAAAAATACATATATTCTTAGAAGAGTACAGCTGTTATATTTTTGCTATTAAGTATAGCATTTTTATAAAATATTTTATATTTTTAATGTCAAAACATGAAGATAGTATATTATTTGTGTAATACCGATATGGAGAAATAAAAATCAGATTGACGTCGATTAGACATCAATTAGATATCACTTAGATGTCACTTAGACGTCTATCAACGTTTAATTGACGTCGCATCGATCCGGTTTTTTATTTCTCCCTAGGACATGTAGCGTGGTAATCTGTCTTATGAATGACTGCAACGCCAAGTTTTTTTCTCGATTTAAATTGAATTTTTTATTTACTCCCATCATGTGACGTAATTTTAACTAGCACCATCAGATTTTTCATTTCAAAAACTATAAGAATAATGATATCTGTTTTACTTTTTCCGAACATAACAAAAGCAGACCTTTCAATTTGTAACACCCTTTTCTGCGAATGCCTTAAAGATTAAAATTAAAGATTAAAATACCAGAAAAATGCGATCTGCGTTACATTTTGCTTTCGTAATAAATATATATCATGATTTATTACGCAAGAATAATTATTTCGTTTATATTACTCTCTTTTCTCATGCTCGTATATCGCAAATTACAACTAATTTAATACACGCTCTAATTAATGTTCGATACCATTCGTGCGTTTAATTGCGTGGAGTGTTGGTTTATGTACGCGCGCTTTGTAATTACAGGGCCGGTTACAAAATCACGGTGATCGACAAATCTGAGAAAGACTGGTGGAAAGGCAAATGTCTTGGTGGCCGTATTGGTTATTTTCCAAGTGCGTACGTTATGCGGGTGGAATCTGGTCAAAGGACTCTTCAGGTCACACGCAACTTGCAGCTGGCTGATCAAACTCTGCTACGAGATCAGGTATTTATGTGAGTTATATGATATTAAAAATATGGTTTGAAACGATCCGTGAAGTATTTTGAAAAGAAAAATAACCGACATCAGATTTTCAACTCACGTTGCCTTAGTTTTACTCGTGTCAATGTTTATTAAATTTTTACATCTAAAAGAATTTTTATAGGGTAGAGCAGAGCCTTTTTGTTCATTTCTTGCGACAATGTTTACCTTTCTGAACAGCACATATTGAACATTTAAAGTCATGCTTGTACTCTCAAGAAGCAATCATGATTGTATAAAGTAATTGTAATCACGATACTGCAAAGAGATACTGTTTACCGCCGTATTACTTTAAGTTTGAAACTGACGGAATAGCCCCGCCCTATCCTACTTCGAGAGAGCGAACGCAAAAGTTCAATCTTTTCGTTTCGTTACACAATGTATATATGTATATATGTAGATCGTGATCCAAGTGGGCGAAGAGATGGACGGGGTGGCGATGGTAAGATGCGCAGCGGACGTGCGTTCCGCCGATCATACGGGCAAGGAGGGCGATGTTCTCTACAAGGAAATTCTCTGCCCTCTCAAATATCTGCAGGAGGTGTGACGACAGCCTTATCATCATCAAGTCGTACGCGGCGGTAGCGTCATTGTGAGCAACGAACGTCGACGTTGCACCGATATGCGTGATCGTTTCTCGATGCGTCGTCACGTCGCCGAAAAGTATTACGATTGCTTGCAATGCGCCGAACAGTGTCGTCACGTGGACAACAGCAACCCCAGCGGCAGCGGGAACAACAATAATAATTACAGTAACAACAATAACGGCAAAAACGACGGCGAGGCCGTCGCCGTCAGTCATCGGATTCGCGGTAATTATCATCTACCGGCCTCGAGTGCGGAGTTGTATCTCGACGAGGAGGCACCGATGTCTCCCGACGAACTCAGGAGAATTCGGAGCACGAGAGGCAGTCTGAGCAAATCCTTGATGAGGCATCAGTCCGCGCACCTGACGCCAGTCAAGAAAAGATCCTCCCTGGCACGACCGGTTCGCGTTCACGACTCCTTCGTGCAGCCGAGACGACCGATGGCCGAGGAGGACGGTTATCAGGAGCCGCAACGCGATCAGCAGACGTGCAAGAACCCGTGGTGGTGGGAGCACCGGGATCAGCAGGAGCCTAACACGTCGAGCTACACCTATCATCGCGACACCGAGGACGGTAACGCCGGTTGGCCTATTCGCCTGCGGCTCGAGCAGATGCTAGAACTGACGTTGCCGCAGACCAAGCGTAAGAAGAAGAAGAAGAAAAAAACGGCGTCGGCGACGATGATGCTGATGAAACAGCAGCAGCGCGGCAGGCACGGCTTCAAGGATACTGAGAAGCTCCTCAAGGTACTCAGCATCAACAATGTGGACCAAGATAATAGGTACAACGTCAAACGATGTTCCGTCATGTAGAGATTAGCGTAAATAAGAGAAAGAGAAAAAAAAATGAAAAGAAACAAAAAAAACAGCGTGTAACAAACTTCTTAAGGAAACACCGTAGGACTCTGATACGCTCGTATCTGGAATCCTGCTTTCGGGCGTTACTCGCGGCCGGGTAGAGCCGCAAAGATCGAAGCTTCGAGTCTGTTTTGATATACTTAATAATTTTCGGTAAGTTTTATTTTATTTAAATTCTTTGTTTCAGTTATAGAATGTGAGGAAGGACAAACGGGAAGTCGCGGCGCGACGAAAAAATCTCCCGTGTGCATTTATCTTCGTCTTTTATTTATCTATTAGATTTCAGTTTTGCTTATATATGAAAATTGTCTGTCAGTTTTATTCGTATTGTTTACATTAACGGACGCTTTCAGCACAATGTTTATTTTGTAACTGTTGAAACTGTTGTTTTCGTGGTGCTAATTGGATTGTACTTTCAGAGAAATAGCCCTATCTCGGCGAAGAAACCTTCAACTCCAACAGTTGCAAATTAAATGTTCTGCTAAAAGCGATTAATTTGTATATTTTGGGTAGTAAGTCATTTTTGTAGTAACTGTGTTAAATATCGCTAATTGAAAGGAATTGCAAGTATTCATTTTTGTTTCCCTATTTTTCTAATAATTAATTCTTTTAATAATTTCAATAATTTTTCTAACAATTTTTCTAATAATCTATTTATTTTAATCGTCCCATATTTTTAATCTTCAGTTTTAATTTCTTTCATTGTACCGTTAAGGATGGGTATTAATAACGAGAATTGTTACCATTACGCAAGGATTTTTCCGAAGCGTCATTTTTCGCGATAACCATCGCGGCTTCGATAACGCGCAAAGCACTTCTAGAGACAGAAATTGTTTCCGTTTCGTTCTTCCTAGCTATTTTCTCAGTTTGAAGATAGAGATTATTTCCTCTTAGCTGCGTATCTGATCCGCCGCGTATCTACTCCGGCATCTCGAGATCCAATATCCCTTTATTGCTTTGATCGGGCATTTTTACTTTTATAGGACGAAGTGGTCAGTGTCGCGACTCAAAAAAGAAAAAGCTTCGTAACAAGCGACTTATTCACTATTACCGCGTTGCAGGGTGAAAAATATCGCTTCGTCGCTTGGTTGCAAAAGTCGAGATCCACTTTATCTCCGTGTAATCGGAGCTAATTAATCGTTCGTACCCGCATTCGCGCAAAAGCGAACCAAGGATTAGCGAGGAAGCGAGAAAAGAGAGAAAGTAAAACCAATTTCATTCCACTAAACTGCCTGGGATCATCGCGGACGCTTAATCGCGAGCTCCTCCCAAGTTTCGCGCGACAACATCACTCCGAATAATTTTTTATATCAAGAAATAACACCGACGGTATATCGTGTTGGGCGTGGAAATTATTCACGCGCATCGGTTTTGCGAATCGCTCGTTTGCGATTGGAGGAACGAGTGGATGAAGGAAGTATATCGCATTTACGATATAGAGGAAGCAGTAGCTTTTAGAAAATAAAATCGTGGAGTTTATACTGCTGTTTCCAATTACGTACATTTTAATTTTAAAAAATATATAAAATACAAAGCTAAAATATAAAACATTTTAATTTGTTTTTTTAAGCTGACGTTTGTAATTATAATTAACTCTTGATAACGAGCCGTTTGCTTGTCTTTTGATTTTAATTCATATTATCGCGTTATTAAATTAACGACGAACATGAAGTAACTGGCAAATAACAGTTTATATTTGAGAATAAATAAGAGATATTGTGATATACCTCCTACGTTCGCTTAGCTCTTCGAGTTGTCTCGTTAACAGCGATAGTCCAGAGAAGAGCAGCAAGTACCTACAAACAATGAATGTACACGCGTAATCCAAGTGCCATATTGCGTCGCGACAGCAAATTAAAGCCTATAAAATCTAAGCATTTGAATGAACGTTCCAGTATTAAGTATATAAAACAAACAAGATGTGTGATTTAACGTAATTCGTGACGCGATGATTCGAGATACGCACTTTCCCTCGCCGTGTCGTAGGCAACCCACAAGCATATAAATAAATAGACAAAGCGAACCCTTCCTCTGTCCGCGAACGAACGTCACGATCAGGGAGAAGAGTCGGTTCGCGTGAGCTTACTGCGCGTTAAAATCGTACGAGCGATAAAAGTAAGTACGGTACTAATCTCGATCGGATCTTACAAAGAACTTTGCTCATTTTTATGTGGATTCTTTGTATCCTAATAACGAAGCTCGACTAAAATGAAGTATTATGTTAGAGGATCAAAATATTCCATAGACGTTCTTTTCATGTCGTTCCGAGATATATTGAAACATTGGACACATTTGTACATTTCAACTTAAAATATAAAGTTCGTTTATTTTTTTATAACTGTGTCGTAATATTTTTATGAATAAAATAACGAATAATGAATCAAATGATATATAAATGAAACATATAGAATACGGTGGTAATTTCGAACATGGTACAATCCTGAATGAGATAAGATTTGAATCCAATTCTTGAAGTTCAAGTTTGATTTTTTCCTGTTTCGTACCTCCTTCAGTAATGATCAAGGTTACCAACTTGAACCTCCAAAGTTTGATTCGAATTTTATTTCGTTTTGAATTGTACTATATTCAGAATTGTCTTACCGTCTTACTCTAGTTATTTTTTTAAAAAAGCAACTTTTATTTATATTTATTGGTTGTCTTAGGTGATTTGCTGATTCTGTCATTATTTCAACGGATATCCTGTAATCTATTCATTACTTTATCCATCAGTATACGATTCATTACTTATACAGATGAGGAGTTAAAAATAAGCAAGGTTCTTTGTAATCGTCAAAGTAGCAAACTGCTTTCAACATTTGCGTTTTAATTAATTTCTGTGGTTAAGTTAATTTGCATTTTTTATTCGTGAGTGACCACGAAGAAACGATTCTGCATCGAATCCTGCACCATTCTTTACAAAAGTCCAACTTAATACTGAAAATTACTTATTTTGATTATTAAAAGCACTGTTGTTAAGAACAACAGTGCTTTTAATAATCAAGTAATTAATTCATACTTTCAGTATTAAATTTTTCTAAGGAATGTTTAAGGTGGCATTTAAAGAGCATTTACGAGGACTCCATCGGTTTTAACACGCGTGGACTCGCGAATCGAGATGAAATAATCGTAGTCCTAGAAATATTAAGCGGGATTAGACAAGTATCGTTTCATTATATCCGTTATAATATATTCTCACGAGTGTCCTTCCTTCGTTAACGTAACTCTATCGCATTATCTATAGCATAGAGAGACAAAAAATTATTGACAAAGCTACCACTCCCAATATTTTGTAAAAAGAGAAATACTAGTTTTTTTTTATTGCCGGTATTCGTAGTCGATTCTTATATTTAAAATCGTCTTAAGTGCAATCTTAAAATATCACGAAATGTATTAATAATCACAGAACTGTATTAATATCTTAAAACTATTCAAGATGCTAATACAGTTAACTATATAAGACTTAAGATATAGTCTTGAAATAGGAATCAACTATGAATACCGGCCTATGCTACGCGATATGATCCACCACACAGCGTTCAGCACGATCAAGACACGCGATCAGTAGATTGCGTCGAATAAATCACGATAGAATAATCAGATTTACCAACGATTCACTATGTGTGCGTATCTTTTATAATTTTATTTTGAATTCACTGTCGAGATAGAAGAAGAGGTTTGACTCGAACCGGCGTGAGAATGGCTGCGGATTATTAACTGTATCTGGTTTGACGTAATCTTCGATGTTGGATATGTTAACGAGTCTATAGTCCGTTTACAGGAGAACCTTTGTTATACACCCGTGCAAATATATCGTTTGACCGGAAAAATAGACTGCACGAAAAAATATATTATCTATAAAAAAATATATATATATATCATATATGTGAATGTCTCTATCTATGTGCAACTCCTAGTTTTTCCATTTTTCTATCCTTTGTCCTTTTCAGAATCAACGCTTTCTTATTTATCAGCGAATATAAAACAAAGAAACCGACGGTTTATTCCGTAAAATTGCATAACTTCCATTCTCGAAATTAGATGATAATATACAAATTTTTTAGTTTAATTTTACAGGAAATGATTTTAACGTGCAAATAATTAACTGTGTGCAAATTGAATTCTTACATTGAGAGAAAAATGTACTAAATTTTAATAAATATTTGTTTAATTAATACTAACTGAATATTTATTAAATGTAAACATATATTTATTGGTACGAAAACCATTAATTTGATTTAACTATCATTTCTTTTTATTTAGTAAATATTTATTTATCAGTAAGTAAATGTTAAGTTTAATCAAATATTTGTTAAAACATAGTACATTTTTTCTCTGTACATAAGACAATGTTAGGTAATTGTTTATAAACAGAACTCTTATAAGACGATTTTAGTGCACTTATTTTTTTACAGGATGAGCTTATCTCTCGAAAATAATAGGAAGGATTAAGATCAAACTATTTGAATAATAAAGCAGCGATATTTTTTTATTATCCTCACGTACAATACATTCGAAGTGCCAGCATCACGATTCTCATTGAAATTCTCCCGTTAAAAATTTTCTCGTTAAAAGTCTTGATAGCTCGCGCTCGTCGGACAATACATATAAATATCCATCGTACGCAAATCGTGGCCAGCATCAGAAATATTTTTTCCAAACTTCCTTCGGTCGGATATTGATATAGATTCGAATTTCGATTCCGATTACTGTCCAGATCGAATCTTCACTCTTTACAGCTTATATTTAGCTCCCCTAATGATAGGATACTTGTCGCCGGTGCAAACACCCCGGAAATCGTCCAAGGACAGATCTACGATCGCTACACCGCCGAGACCTTTAGCCTTCACGAATGCAGCTTTATTACCGGCGGTGTCTGGATCCTCGTAACCTGCCCAGAGTCCCTCAGTTCCAGTTTCACCGTTGTAAGACTCATGAGCGTAGTTGCCGTACTTCTTGGATGGGTCGCCGACTCGTCTCAAACGTCCCGCCGCGTGCTCGGTCAGCTTGGAGCACATCTCGGCGTAGGACAGCAGCCCTGGTTCGTTGGTGTTGGGCCCAGGAGCACCTGGACCGTCGGACACGATGGGCGGCACGCCGGAAATCTGACTGTCTTCCGTCAACTTCCACGTGCGAGCGTACGTAGGAATACCGATGACGATCTTGCTACTGGGAGTCCCATGCTCCAACCAGTACCTGCAGAGGAATTTCTCTTGTTATTTCGATGCTATTCTTATCGAGCTGTAAAAGCGGTGCGTTGTGCAAAATATCTCCGCTTTTAGCGAACAAGTTAGACAGGCGCTCAGTATAAAAAGGAACATTTACATAAATATAGACATAATCTTTTAGCTTCTGAGATGTTAAGATTGTTGATGAATATTTATGAATATTAATGTACAGATAGATATTATAAACAGTAATTGACTTGATAAAAAATAAATTATGCATCATATAATTTATTTCCAAAAATTATGAATTAAGCATAAGAGAAAACAGAATTGAATATGATAATTTAATGTAGAAAAATTAAGGGAAATAAAAAA